ATCCACCAGTCGCGTGTGTGTCGCTACCTCCTCCGCGTAGGTGGTGAGGCGTGAGGCATTGGTGATGTTGTCAGAAACGAGGCGAGGGAGATCGGGCGGGCGAGGTGCTTCGCCAGGATGGGGTGGTGGAGGAGGAGGTTCAAGACCAAGGAGGGGAGGTGGCTTGGGCTCAAGACCGTTCGGTTCGGCAAAGACAACGGAATGGAGGTTGACACCGCCAATAATGGTGGAGCGGAGGACACCGGTGAGGCTCTGTGAGAAACGGTGCCAATTCAGTGCAGTAGTACCATCCTGGACTTCCAGGCGAACAATGGAGCCAGTATCAATAGGCACAGAGTCGGTTGCCATGAGTGCTGCTGCCACCGTTCAGCTCTGCTGCTGCTGCTGCCTAGTCACGCTGCTGCTGCTGCCTAGTCACGCTGATGCTGCTGCCCAGTCACGCTGCTGCTGCTGCCTAGTCACGCTGCTGCTGCTGCCCAGTCACGCTGCTGCTGCTGTCCAGTCACGCTGCTGCTGCTGTCCAGTCCTGCTGCTGCTGCTGTCCAGTCACGCTGCTGCTGCTGCCCAATCACGCCGCTGCTGCTGTCCAATGCTGCTGCTGCTGCTGTCCAGTGCTGCTGCTGCTGTCCAGTCCTGCTGCTGCTGCTGCCCAGCCACGCTGTTGCTGCTGTCCATTCACGCTGCTGCTGCTGTCCAGACCTGCTGCTGCTGCTGTCCAGCCACGCGTCACGCTGCTGCTGCTGTGCAGACCTGCTGCTGCTGCTGTCCAGCCACGCGTCACGCTGCTGCTGCTGTCAGTCACGTTGCTGTGTAGGGATCCGCGTGAAATGCGGGGAGGGCCACGCAGTTGCTCTGCAGGGCTCAGGTGGGTGCTGGAAGAGGTAGCACGATTGGCAGGGAGGCTCGCGTGGCTGGCGGCAGAGGTGGCGTGACGCTTAGAGGGGCCCGTGCGACTGGGAGGAGGGGTGACGCGGCGGGCAGAAGGGCCTCCGCAGCTGCTGGCAGAGGTGCCGTGACGGTCAAATGAAGCAATGCGACCGCTAGCAGAGGATTTGCAACGGTGAAAACGATCAGCGCGACTGCTGGCAGTGACTTCGCGACAGTGAAATTGACCCGCACGACTGCTGGCAGGGACTTCGCGACAGTGAAATTGACCCGCGCGACTGCTGGCAGGGACTTCGCGACGGTGAAATTGACCCGTGCGACTGCTGGCAGGGACTTCGCGACGGTGAAATTAACCCGCGCGACTGCTGGCAGGGACTTCGCGACGGTGAAATTGACCCGCGCGACTGCTGGCAGGGACTTCGCGACGGTGAAATTGACCCGCGCGACTGCTGGCAGGGACTTCGCGACGGTGAAATTGACCCGCACGACTGCTGGCAGTGATTTCGCAACGGTCAAAGAGGTCCGCGCGACTGCTAATAGTGATGGCGCGACGGGCAGAGGGGTCCGCGTGGCCTGCGCGGCCGTTTAGCAGGGGTGATGCGATGAGCAGGAGGGCCCGCGCGGATGCTAGCAGAGGGTACGCGACGAGCAGGAGGGCCCGCGCGGGTGCTGGCAGAGTGGCGCGAAGAGTAGGGGAAGCCCGTTAGGTTGCTAAGAAAGGTCGCGACGTACTAAGGGAGGCCGCGCGATTTCTCTTAGCTGCTCGAGTGTATAAGGGAAGATAGGAAAACAAAAAATTAGGCCTAGGATCTAGTGGCGTTTGCCTTAGGCTCTGAATACCATGAAAGAAAACTAGAAGTTGTAGAAACTTGAGTAAGAAATGATTGATATTAGCTCAAGAGAGCACAAAGTTATACAAGGGAGAGAAGGTTGGAGAAGAACACCAAACCTAGCACATAAGACACCAAGACCAAGAAGGCTAGTGGGAGGAAGGACCATCCAACCAACCGTAGTGGGGTGGTGGCCAACCAACCAAAGTTGGTTGCCCCATTTGGCCAACAAGGTTGGAGCTAAGTCTAAGCTAGGATATTTGGGTTTGAACCAACCCAACTGTACACCACTCTTGGTGTACAGTCAGAAGTGTTCGCATGCTATAACATATAAATTCTAACACGCAGTAGGGATGTGGTCTTTGATGAGTCCACTCCCTACTATTCCTCTCCCCCATCCACTGACCCACTCCCCCCTCTCACCCGTCCCCTTGTCTGGTCTGACACCACCCCTCCCCCATTACTCCCTCCTCCCCCCATCCTCCCGCCTCCCCCCCCTCCGTCGTCCCTGTCCCACGGTGCCCCTCCCTCGTCTGGCGATATCTTTGACCCGGAACCTCTATCCTCTCCGGTCTCCCCCACACATTCCTCTCCCAGTGCCCCTCCCCCCCTCCTCTCCCCTCCCTCGCCATCGACCCGTCCTTCCCCTCCTCCCCACACCGTACTTACCCGTTACCCCCATACCAGTTCACGTGACAGTATCCTTGGTGCACCGCCCCCTGTTACCCTCTCTTCCTCTACCCTCCCCCCTCTCTCCCCTCTCCTTCACCACTTCTTCCAGGCTGTCTTGCATCAACCTCCTCCTGCAGCAGCCCCCTCTGCCTCCTCTCCCTCACCAGCAGCAGCGTCCGCAACGGCACCAGCAGCTGCACCAGCAGCAGGACCAGCAGCAGGACCAGCAGCGGCACCAGCAGTAGGACCAGCAGCGGCACCAGCAGCAGGACCAGCAGTGGCACCAGCAACGGCACCAGCAGTGGCACCAGCAGCGGCACCAGCAGCGGCACCAGCAGCGGCACCAGCAGCGGCACCAGCATCGGCACCAGCAGCGGCACCAGCATTAGCACCGGCAGCCATCCCCGCCTTCCACACCTCCCTCTCTGAGGACTCCCATGAGGAGTTCCTTGACCTTCACCTCTGTAACCCCTCGCTTCTACCCATCACATTCGACCTCTCCGGCACACCCGTCTTCGCCTTCTCCTCTGCTCCCTCCATTTTCATCCCTACCACGTATGCGGAGGCAATGGCTTGCCCCGACGCCCCTCTTTGGCTCGCCGCCATCATCAAGGAGCTGGAGGCCTTTATCGCCAACTCCTCCTTCGTTGAGGTGCCTCGCCCTCCCGCCTCTACGAACGTGGTGAAGGGGAAGTGGGTGTTTCGCGTCAAGCAGCTGCCAGGGGAGCCGCCCGTCTACAAGGCTCGTTACTATGCCAAGTGCTTCACGCAGCGGTATGCTGTTGACTTTTTCGATACCTTCTCCCCTACCGCCAAACCTGCTACCGTTCGAGCGGTGCTCGACCTCGCCACTCGCCTAAATATGGAGATCCACTCGATGGACGTTTCTAACGTCTTTCTGCAAGGCGTCCTCCGCGAGCTAATCTACATGGAGCGTCCAGCCAGCTTTCACCTTCCCTTCCCAGCTAACTCTGTCTGGCAGCTGCGTCGACCTGTGTATGGGCTTCGACAGGCCCCTAGGGAGTGGCATGCTAAGCTTGCCGCCACCCTTGCTGAACTTGGGTTTCGCACCTCCCGCTCCGATGACATGATTTTGCTCACCGCCGACCTTGCTGAGTTGGAGCGTGTTAAGGCTGAGTTGGGTAGCCGTCTCAAGTGCAAGGACTTGGGAGAGCTGCAGCACTACCTGGGCATGACCATCACCCGCAATCGCTCCGCCCGCACCATCTCTCTCTCCAAGGGTCATTACTTGCAGCTGGTCTTGGAGCGGTTTGACATGGCCCAGGGCGGGGCGGTGCCCAACATACTCCTCTTTCTGTCAGGCACCACCTCTCTCTACCCACCTCCCCCTCAACCTCCTCCCATCCTTATCCCGAGCTCGTCGGCTCCCTCATGTACGCCATGGTCTCCACTCGCCCTGACCTTGCCTACCCCATCAGCGTCCTCGCTCGTTTGTTGGCGCAGGCAAACATACCGAAGAGCACCGGCAGGCCGCCAAGCGTGTCCTCCGGTATCTTCGTGGCACCAAGGACTATGTCCTTACCCTTTGCGGCCCCTCTCCACCTCTCCTCAGCGGCTGCAGTGACTCCTCCTGGGCTGATTCTCGGCCGGATCGTCGCTCCTCCCAGGGCTATGGCTTCTCTCTTGGCAGCGGCCTTATCAGCTGGCGCTCCACCCGCTCCTCGGCTATCGCCCTCTCCTCTTGCGAGGCGGAGTTGTATGCCGCTACCATGGCTGCGCAAGAGGCCCGCTGGCTCACCTTCCTTCTTGAGGAACTTGGTGTCCCCCAGCGCTGTCCCACCATCTGGTGTGACAAAGCTAGTACCATTCACCTCACTAAGGATGCTGTGTTTCACGGGCGCTCCAAGCACATTGAGCTCCGTCATTTCTTCATTCGCGATCTTGTTCAGGCGGGGCACCTTCGGCTCGACAAGATTGACTCGGCGACCAACTTTGTCGACATCTTCAAAAAGCTCTTTCTCATGCGGCTCACTCTTCACTATTTTATCTCCTTGGCCTCACTCCTCCTAAGTCGCCTCCCGCCTCTTGATTCTGGCCTTCTAGCCTTGTACATGTTGGGGGGTTGTGTTGTAATTTCATATTTTATACAACATACATAGGCTAGAATTAGATGTGTAGCACATGTATAAATTGGGGGGTTGTTTAGTGTACCCTCCAACCACATTTTCTGGTTGGTTGGGCCACAAGCAAGCTCACCCATTGGTCAACATATTGACCAATAGGATAAGCCTCCCTCTCATCTCTCTCTTGCTCATTGTTTGCACTAAAGGGTCTCTTGGCTCATTATTCAATTCATCAATTCTCTCCTTCAACAATCTACTCAGTTCTGGATTCCGCCCACATCAAACGCCCGTGCCTCCAGCATGCCTTTTGAGGTGCCTCGAAAGTTGCCCGTGTCTCGAGCATGCCAGGACGACTCTCCCCATAGGCCACCGTGCCACACAGTCTGTTCGTGCCGGGCCGGGCCGCCCCCACCGTCGTCACCGAAGCGTGGAAACAGCGTGATTGGTTTGGCCTAAGCAAACCATGCCAGCTGATTTGCTTGGACCTCAGCATGCCGATGATTCCCACAACTCGCACACCCAGCCTCACCTATCATGCCGATGATGGGGGTGCGCAGCTCATGCGAGGTGTTGGCCACCGTCTCACTCTTGGAGTGCTCGGCTCTCTCCAGCGCCACTGTGCACAGCTGCATCTCCCTCACCGCCTCTGCCATCTCCCTTTGCTTCCACGCCAGCACCGCAATGACTGCAGACAGCAGCACGGCCACGAGCAGCACAAGCAAGCCCAGCAGCATGGGGGCATACACGAGCTCCCACTTGGGGTACTCGCCCTCAAACCTGCACATTGGTATTCGGGTGGTGAAAAGGGGATTCACGAGAGAGGAAGGCAGTTCATGCAGCAAGGAGACTTTTGAGTTGACTCAGTAGTCACCTCCAAAATTAGGGAGGTCACGGAGCAGTCGTGGGGTGACAACCTGGCACTGTAAGGTGCAAGGAAGCAAAACAGAAAGAAGGGAGGGAGCAATGGGGCAACAAGGAGATGAGGCGTCAGCACTGGAAAGCACTACAATGCCTACAGCGATTTCTTTCGTCGCCTGCACTCCCCCCTTGCCTCACCTGCAGTGCGCCTCGTACTTGCGGCCCAACAGGTCCTCGGGAAAAGGCTCGACATGCTTGGGTTGGGGAATGACAGGCCCAGGCAGCACGTAGGGGTAGAAAGACCCGTTCTCAAAGAGCTGCGGCTCCGGGCCGAGCACCTGAATGGGCTGCCCTGGGTCGGTTGTGTCGTACAAGGCCAATGAATAAGGGGAGGCTGTGCCTGCACGTGACCACACACACATGCATGCATGCGAAGAGGTACACACGCATGCGACCAGCCAGGCATGCATGGCATTAGGCACAACACGCATGGCATTAGGCACAACACGCATGGCATTAGGCACAACACGCATGGCATTAGGCACAACACGCATGGCACTAGGCACAACACGCATGGCACTAGGCACAACACGCATGGCACTAGGCACAACACGCGTGGCACTAGGCACAACACGCGTGGCACTAGGCACAACACGCGTGGCACTAGGCACAACACGCATGGCACTAGGCACAACAAGCATGGCACTAGGCACAACATGCGTGGCACTAGGCACAACACGCGTGGCACTAGGCACAACACACGTGGCACTAGGCACAACACGCATGGCACTAGGCACAAAACGCATGGCACTAGGCACAACACGCATGGCACTAGGCACAACACACGTGGCACTAGGCACAACACGCGTGGCATTAGGCACAACACGCATGGCACTAGGCACAACACGCATGGCACTAGGCATAACACGCGTGGCACTAGGCACAACACGCGTGGCACTAGGCACAACACGCGTGGCACTAGGCACAACACGCATGGCACTAGGCACAACACGCATGGCACTAGGCACAGCACGCGTGGCACTAGGCACAACACGCGTGGCACTAGGCACAACACGCATGGCATTAGGCACAACACGCATGGCACTAGGCACAACATGCATGGCACTAGGCACAACATGCATGGCACTAGGCACAACACGCATTCCACCAGATGCACAGCCGCAGCAGCAGGCAGCAACTGGGTAGAAGGAGACACACTAGAAGGTGTGGGAGCAGGCTGAAAGGTTGTTCAGAATGGATGCAACGAAGGGTTTAACTGGGGAAAAGGGGAGTGGTGGGGAAGGGGGGGATGATGATGCGAAAGAGGGGGGTGATTGGGTTAGAGATGGAACCGTTATGAAGCAGAGCAAGGAGGTTCTTCATTTCCTCCTCGAGGAAGTAGAATCCCGCCCACACCGTGCTCACACTCTCCCTCTGCTCCGCTGCTGTCGCGCCTGGCGTCACGGGATGGCGCCGGATGGGCACCACTATCACTGCATGCAGACATGGGTGGGTGGATGGGTGGATGGATGGATGGATGGATGGATGGATGGATGGATGGATGGATGGATGGATGGATGGATGGATGGATGGATGGATGGATGGTGTCAGAATATTATGTTTCTCTAGTCTGCAGTGGGGTACTCTATAGTGAGTACAACCCTTTTAGGGTTTGCTATATGTATCCCAATGTTTGCTAGTGAACCCCTTCCGCTCCACTCTTCTCTTCATTCATTCCTCATTCTTCACAGATGGATGGATGGATGGATGGATGGATGGATGGATGGATGGATGGATGGATGGATGGATGGATGGATGGATGGATGGATGGATGGATGGATGGATGGATGGATGGATGGATGGATCATGGCACACAGGGATGGCACACAGGGATGGCACTGTGTGGACACTTGGCCTCCCAACAGGCACCAGACCCTGATGCGCTCCACTGTTTTGTGTTTTTGGATGCGCTTCCATTGCAGCTGCGCTTAGTCTATCTGCCAACCTTACCAGAACGCATCCACCCACCATGTCCAAATGCCAACCTCTAATGACGGTGGAAATGAATGAAACATGCATATTCATTCAAATGCGTATGTGACATGACATGTATGTCCTAGTGTTTTCACCCGCACCCCCACACCGCCCCTCCCCAAGGTCCTCTGAGCCTTTGTCCCCCTGCCCAGAGGCCTTTTCACCTGCCCAGGCAAGCGTCTTTCTAGCGCTTTCAGAGTTACTGCTTAAGCATTTAATGCCCACACACACACCCACCAGTGCCCACACACACACCCACCAGTGCCCGCACACACACCCACCGGTGCCCACACGATGTCTGCCGAGGTAAACAGGCGGGGAGGTGGCAGCGGTACCCTGGAGCAAGGAGGAGAGGACGGCTGGGTACACGCTGGCAGAGAAGTCGGTGAAGGGCAGGATGGGGTCGGCAGGGTCGATGCCGCCCAGCACGTTCACTATGTACAGTGGCTTGCGCGGGGACGGCAGGCCCAGCAGCGTCACGATGGGGCGCCCTGTGATGCGCTCCACTACAGGCCTGTGGAGGGGAAGAAGGCGGGCAGGCAGGCAGGCAGGCGCACGCATGGTCAGGCACGAGGCAGGAAGAACAAATGGGAGGGAGAAACTGGCTAAGATCGGTCGAGCTGCTTGTCAAGCCGTCGGCTCAGCTCAAGGCGGCTCGGTTCGAGCCACGTAACCCGGCACGGGCCACCAGCGGCTCTACAATCTGCCTGTGATGCGCTCCACCACCAGCCTGGAAGAGGGGAGGGGGCGGGCAGCGCATGGTCAGGCACTCGGGCTGGAGGCAGGAAGAAGAAGAAGTGGAATGGAGGAAACAAATACGGGTCCGAACGGTCAATATGGCACAGTAGGTACGCAGGCATGAGCAAGGGCCAACCTGTGGTCAGGCAGGCCATCCGATTCCAGGTTCCAGCCAGCCCTACAGTCTGGAGCGAGCCCGCTTGGCAAGTCGGCTCGGGCTGACTCGGTGAGCCGCGCGGCGCGCGTCGTTAAATTGAAACCGTACCGTACCCCCCTCCCCCTCCCCCTCCCCCTCCCCCTCCCCGCGTCGTTAAATTGAAACCGTACCGTACCCCCCTCCCCCTCCCCCTCCCCCTCCCCCTCCCCCTCCCCCTCCCCCTCCCCCTCCCCCTCCCCCTCCCCCTCCCCCTCCCCCTCCCCTCCCCCCCCTCGCACGCACACCTGTCAGCGTCCTCCACGAGCATGACAAGCGTGCCGGTGGTGAGGTCCGACATGCCCAGCGTGGCGGCATTGTACAGCTCCATGCTGCGGTTGTCCGCACACCCTGCCAGCCCCCAGTAGGTCAGGTTGGTGGTGCTGCGTGGGCCATACCCGTTGAACACGCGCACCAGCGCCGACATCTCCTGCCCTCGCACACACAGGGTGAAGAGCAGAAAAGGGGGGGGTTGGGTGGGGCGGCGGGGGGGGAGGGGGGGTTGTGGGTGGGGGGTGGGGGGAGACGCAGAAAGATGGCGGAGGGAAGAGAAGGTGGTGGCGGCAAGCAGGACAGGCATGCGTGCATGGAAGGGTATGGCACGAGGTGAAGGGAGCGTGCGATGGCATGGGTTTGGATTAGGATGCGATGTCATGGATTGGGATTAGGGTGCGATGGCATGGGTTGGAGGGTGCTGAACAGTGCACTCGCGCTGAACCAGACCCCCCAGCCCCTCTCCTTCTGCCGGTACCTCTCCGCCCCTCTCCTCTCCGCCCCTCTCCTTAGGTGGATAGCTGGGTCGGCGCAGAAGGGGGCGGCTGGAGAGGAGGACGTTGCTTCCCGTCTGATAACAAGGCCGCCTTTGAGGGTCTCAACCGGATTTTGAGGGGTCTCAAACGAGATCTGAGGGCCTCAAACGGAATTCGAAGGCCTTAAACAGAATCTGAGGGCATCAAACGGAATCTGAGGGCATTAAACGGAATCTGAGGGCCTTCAACGGAATCTGAGGGCCGCGAGCGGAATTTCGCGTGCCCGAAGCGGTGCAACAGGACAGCCAACGCGGCTGAGGAATGCCGCCGCCGATGTCAGTTGTGCCGCGGTCGACGGGGCAAGCGCGCCACCCGTACAGTTGTCTCTCGAGATCACTGCTACGGCTGACAGCAAATGACGCGGTGCGTTGCTGTGGGGCATCGCACCTGCACGCGCGATACGGACGAGAGAAGGCGCTGGTAGAAGTAGCGCACGCGCAAGCGGCACCACCCGCGCATCGCCTCCTCCCGCGGATTGGCGGCCTGCGTGTGCGCGAACCACACCACCCACGCGGACAGACCCAACCATCCCGCCACCCATGCCGCCGCTAACAGCGCCCTCCCCACGCCCCACGGCACGCCTCGCGGCGAAAGGCGCCAAGGTCGGCGCATGAGACTGGCGGGGTGTTTGTACGAGCAAGGAGAGTGAGAGCACGAGATGAGTGCATGGAAAGGGGAGTGAGGAAGAATGGATGGAAAAAAGAGATTTGAAGGATCGATTGGGTATAAAAACGTTGAAGAAACATTTTATTGGCTTGTATTGTTGGATGTGTGATGGCGGTGGTGGGAAGGGATGCCGTGTTGATGTGACGAATCGCAGCAGATCCGTCCCGCACTACCACAAGATCAATGAACATTGGTGGATGGCTGATATTTTTGAATAGATGGCGCAGGACCAACTGGGAAATCGGACGGGCGGCAAGGGATCGGAACTGAAAACAAACTACAGTACAGTATTTCACCTTCAAACAGAGTCGTCGGGAAGGCAACAACTTCAAGGGAAATTATACGCGCAGTCACAATTATGGCCGTATTATCACGTTTGGTCACGGGGTTATCACGGACAGTCACAGTACAGTACTTCGCTATCACGCATGATCACAGCGCTATCACGCTTGATCACTCCTCGCCCCGCAGGGTTATCACGTTTGGTCACTCGTTGAAACGCCCGCCAAAAGGTCGAAACTCTCAAATCTACTGTACAGATTCGGGTACTTTTATCTCGCGCGCGTTTTGTCTGTAGTGAACTGTACTAATTTGTTGCAAAAGTACCAAAGAAAACCATCAATTCTAAGAAACATCATATCTTATCAATCGATTGTGCGCCTGACACTGAACTTGTTTTTAGCTTGTTAGCAATGTAGTGAATGAAGTGAACGCCAATAATAAAACTATTCGGAAGAACGGACATACCGTATGTCGAACTACCACAACACAATGTGTTAGAGAGTATCAAACTATACAGGTTACAGTTATCAATTATTCACATCGGCATAAGCTTATATTACAAGATGCAATTACACTAAACATGTCCATCATAAATAGGTTTGATTAATTCTAAACAGTTAAATTACACATATCAACCAACGCAATTACGTGTCGTATATGCATTTCCCCGCCTGTAACGTTCAATGGTTTTCCATCTAATATAAGTCAATTGTATGGGTTTCCCACCAGCTAAAGCTATTGTCACTGTGCTAAACATAATTACAATGCTCTCACTGTTTAAATCATTCGACCAAAACCCATGTCTTTGGTTTATGGATGAAATGCACACCATAAACTAATTATATAATCGAAACTGCTACTGCATCGGTCCCTAACAAGGACCGAGTATATTTCGACAGTCACATCACGTTTTTCACTACAGACAAAACGCGCGCGAGATAAAAGTACCCGAATCTGTACAGTAGATTTGACAGTTTGGACCTTTTGGCGGGCGTTTCAACGAGTGACCAAACGTGATAACCCTGCGGGGCGAGGAGTGATCAAGCGTGATAGCGCTGTGATCATGCGTGAGAGCGAAGTACTGTACTGTGACTGTCTGTGATAACCCCGTGACCAAACGTGATAATACGGCCATAATTGTGACTGCGCGTATAATTTCCCCAACTTCAAACATGTCGCAAGAGGGTAGATTTACAGAATACCATTCTGTTTGCTTCTGTTCGCTGTCTGGATCTGCTTGGTGTTGAATATGGTGGCGGTCCCCCACCCACCCCCCCCCCCCTCCCTCCCCCTCCCCCCCTCCTCCCCACATCGTGACGGTCCGTCTAGTGAGGTGGTCGAACAGTCGACTCCGCAGGTGTTGCTGTACTATAGTAACAACTTCACCATCTAAATATTGCACAATTGTTATTAGTTGTCAAACAGAGTCCTGTGGAAAACTAATAACGAAGCTGTGAAAATATGGACTAACGATACAATGAATGACACGGAATATATAGCGGGTCAACCTAGCTAGGCGGGAACCTCGGGAACAAGAGGTTGGGTGCGGGTTGTGCAAAGGAAAGCCGAAGGCGATGCGAGGTTGCTTCGGTAGCAAGGAAATCGGCCGAACGTGCACTTCCGAAAATGAGGGCTGTGCACGAAGCAGTAAATCCCGTAAGGAGAAGGGGTTTTCCTCACAATACCCCCCCTCCTAAGAAAGGTGGCCAACATCAGGCACACGCTTCCGAGCGAGGTAATCGCGGAGTAGCGAAGGTACTACAAACGAGGCTGAAGGTACCCATGAATCGTCCTCGCTGTGAGGTCAGTCCAGCATATTAAAAAATCCACGTGCTCGGCCAGCCAAGTCAAGACGAATGCGGTGCCCCGAAATCTTCGACAGGTTGAGCGTCGGCTCGGGTACAGGACTGTCAAATGTTGTAGTCTTAGTGATGTATGTTATAGGGGGTACAATTGTTAGGGTTAGGTTTATGTACCCCAACCAACCTTAGTGAAACCAACACTTTCATTCTTGACATGGTATCACCTAGGTTAAGGTCCTGTAGGATCCCGTTCCTCTCGTTCACGTCCGTAGCGCCCGAGCCTGTCCCGTACCCTAATGCCTGTTACGCCCGTACTGTCCCCTAGCGCCTCTCGCGCTCGTCTCTCTCGTGCCGTTCCAGCCAGACTGCCCACTGCCTGCTCCTTCTCTTTATACTCAGCACTCCGGCGGTCTTACAGAGCGTCGTGAGCCTGTGTCTCGTCCTGTCTCGCCTGTTTGCACTGCTCGTTGCGTTCCTCGTTCGTGTCCTCCTCCTCTCCCCGGCACCCATGCTATGGCACTTCGTCCTTCCTCTGTTCCACTGCGTGTTCCTCTGCCGCCTCCTCCCGAGTCCTCTCTTCCTGCGGTCCCTGACCCTGAGTCTGACCGTGCTTGTGCTACCAGTCCCCCTGTCTCTTATCTCCTCGCCATTGTTCTCAGTGACCCTTCTTTTGAGTCCACTGCTGCGTCTACCCTCGTTGCTGAGCTGCTTGAATTTGCTGCTGCCTGTCGTTTAGACTATGCCACTGCTCTTGTTGCTGAGTCTGAGTCTGCAAGTCCTCCGTCCGTCGGGGGTGAGTGTGCTCTTGGCACGGACGTCCTTGAGGACAGGTAGGAGGACTTTGAGTATCTTGCAGCTGCTGTACCTCGTTTTGCTTCCATGCTGCTTGCCCCTGAGGGAGACCCGGATGCACCAGACATCCCGACCCCGCGCTCTTACGCAGAGGCGGTTATGGGTCCTTACTCCTCTCAGTGGCAGACAGCCATGGATGCTCAGATGGCATCATGGAAGTCCACAGGCACTTACGTCGACGTACTTCTCCCGTCTTTGGCGAACATAGTCAATGGCATATGGATTTTCAGGGTGAAGCGGCCACCGGGTTCTCCGCCTGCCTTCAAGGCGCGTTACGTTGCTCGAGGCTTCAGTCAGTGACAGGGGGTTGACTACTTCCAGACCTTCTCCCCCACCCCGAAGATGACTACTCTTCGGGTGTTGCTGCACGTCGCTGCTCAGCGTGACTACGAGTTGCACTCTCTGGACTTCAGCACAGCTTTCTTGCAGGGCAGCCTGCATGAGGAGAGCTGGTTGCGCCGCCCACCTGGCTTCACTGGGTCGTTTCCTGCAGGTACCCAGTGGAGCATCTGGCGGCCAGTCTATGGTCTCCGCCAGGCGCCTTGCGAGTGGCACGACACACTGAGGCCTACACTTGCGGCTCTTGGGTTTGCTCCTTCTACTGCTGAACTGTCGCTGTTTCTACGCACTGACACATCGCTGCCGCCGTTCTACGTCCTAGTGTACATCGACGACCTGGTCTTTGCCACTGCTGACACTGAGGCACTGACCCTTGTGAAGTCGGAGCTGCAGAAGAGACACAACTGCACTGACCTGTGTGAGCTGCGCAGCTATCTTGGCTTGCAGATCACCCGGGACAGAGCACGGCGCACCATCACACAGACACAGTCACACATGGTGCATCAGGTCCTTCAGCGCTTCGGCTTCCAGTTCTCCTCGCCACAGCCCACTCCTCTGTCTACCAGCCACTCGCTCTCAGCTCCACCTTCGGACGAGTCCGTAGAGCCGAGTGGTCCGTACCCAGAGCTAGTGGGTTGCGTCATGTACCCGATGACATGCACACGACCTGACCTCGCGTACCCTCTCAGCCTTCTGGCTCGCTACGTGGCTCATGGTAGGCACCAAAAGGTGCACTGGGATGCTACGAAGAGGGTACTTCATTACTTGTGCAGTACGTCGGGCATGGGGCTCGTGCTTGGAGGACGGGGTCCAGTTGTCCTCACTGGTCACGCAGACGCTTCTTGGGTTGACGACTCAGCTACGCAGCGGTTGTCACAGGGTTACACCTTCAGCCTTGGTTCCGGCTCTTTTTCCTGGCGGTCTCCCCGCTCGTCTTCGGTTCTCAGCTCCAGTTGTGAGGCTGAGATCTACGCAGGGGCCATGGCTGCACTGGAGCTACGCTGGCTCACCTACCTGCTGAATGACTTGGGAGAGCAGCCTCGTTCGCCTCCAGTTCTGTACGTAGACAACAAGGCCATGATTGTGTTGTGTCAGGAGCACAGACTGGAGCACAGAACGAAGCACATCGCTCTGCGATACTTCCTTGCTCGAGAGTTGCAGCAGCATGGCCAGCTTCGTCTTGCATACGTGGCCACTAGGGCCAACACTGCTGATATATTCACCAAGGCAATTCCGCTTGGTGATCATCAGCGCTTCCCTACAGTGTTAGGCATTGTGGCTACTTTGCCTCACTTACTCACTGCTTGACTTGATTGTAGTGTGATCTATATATATACCTTCATGTTTACACTTGCTAGGGTATGGTCACTGAATTGTTTGTTCTCTTTTATATAACTCTTTATGTGAACTGGCCTTGTCGCCCTTTGCTTGTGCTCAGACTGTGTGGTGACTCTGTGATCCACCCTGATCTTGCTTTGCTGTTCTTGACTGGTCTTGTGACCACTTGTTCTCCCCCACTTTGCCTATGGGGGTGTGTCAGAATGTTATAGTGCTTACATTTGTGTAGGCTATAGTGGGGTAGCCCATAAGGGGTACAACCCAATTAGGGTTAGTACTTGTACCCAACTCTTTCATAGTTCGTTCAGTCTCGTTCATTCTTCTGATTCGTCG